ARCAACAAAGCCKCCTCAGAAACACAGCTTSTACCTCCACTCTGACCCCACACCAGAGCTCTGTACCTGCTGCAGCCACCTGCATTCCAAAGACAAGCTGACCTTGGCAAGGAGCCCYAAGCTCCAGCAGCCTGGAGGACCTCCCAAAAAGAGACTCAGCCTCCCTCAGCCTTTCCAAAAGCAGCCAGGGCTCCCCCCAGGCTGTGCCAGTGGCTGGATGCCAGCAGCACGCAGCCTTCGCGGGCTGTGGGACCATCAGTGCTCACWGGAGCACATGTGCAACCACTCAGTCCTCTGAAATTAAAAAAAGCACAACACAGGGTAGAGGTGAAGCATCCAAACTAAAAACAAAGCCTAACTCCCTCCTCTGCAGAAGGGCAAGAGCTTCCTCATATGGAAACCCCCTCTGGACAGCTGTTCCTTCATCCACTGGGAACACGAGCTGCGCTCCTGTGATGCCTCCTGCATGCAGGGGCAGCCTGGCTGCAGCTGATCCCAACCCAGCCRGGCACAGAACACGCACCCGGAGCTCCCTGCCCTCTGCCACCCACCCTGCATGGAGCAGGGAGAACAGCTCGGCTTCCCTTCAACTGCTGCAGGACAGGTGGGAGCAAGCAAAGCTGTCTCAGGCTGCCATGTCCATCTGTCCTTTGCTCTGCCCTACCCACTGCTGTGCCATGGACAGCAAACACAAGGCACACAGTCCACAAACCTGGAGGGCACTGGGAGCACTGGGATTGCTCTTCTAATCCCTCTTCCCCTGGGTGCACACATTAATGTGACAAACCACTGACTTGGCAGAGGAGGAAGGGAGAACTCTTCCATGCCAAGACTAAAGCCTCAGGATCAGAAATTAAAAATTATTTAAAAATCAATTCATACTTTGGGAAATTTTCTGGGAAATGTCCTACCTCTTCTACCCCTCAAGCAATTCCACAGTCTGTTCCACAAGCAACAACTCCATAGCAGCAGCTCATCCCTCCCCATTTCCTATTACATTTGTTGCTAAAACRCAGACCATTGGCTTCAAGAGAGAACACAAGACAACAAAAGGAGCACAGACACAGCTGCAAGGACCACATGTGGCACATCCAGACCTGCCTCCACTTGCAGACAACCAGCAACACATCTACAATGCCCCTGATCAACCCTCCAGCCTCCTCCTTCCCAAATCAGGGACAAACCCGCCTATGTCTGTAACCTCAGAGACCTGACTCGGCTCACAAGAGGGGAAATCCAGAGATAACAGTCACGGCCGCAGCACTGTACAAGTGTTACTTTTGCCCATCTTGCCCAGTTCCCACCCCACAACCCCAGAGCACTGCTGCCACAATGGAGCATCCAGAGCTTCGGATGGGCTCGCCTGCTGCAATCAGGCCTGCAAGCACTACTGTGACATGGCAGGGGTGGACAGAGCAGGGCAGGATCACACCACCAGSAAACAGCCAAGCAGCAGCTCCCCAGCATCAAACCCAGCTGTGCTTTCAATTCTAGCAGCAGTTGATGCAGCCACTCCAGACCAGCCCACCTGCCCCCACCAGGGCAGCATCCTGGAGGCAGTGTCAGTTTGGGAAGCGATGACCTCAGCCAGGACCTGTGAGCACCCACGGCCACTGCTGATGGACAGCTTGGCTGTGCTTCCCCTCTTGCTCCTGCTCTCAGTTCCTCGCTGCACTCACCCACCCACCCTGCAGCTGTACATGGAGAGACGATGACTCCTCCCAGCCATGAAACGCAGCTTTGGGTCAGCTCAATGCCTTGGGAAACACTGTTTGGTACCAGCTTGTGACTCTGCACCTCTGGAGTGGTGCAGCACACAACTGCACACAGGAGCACAGCTCTGGAACTCCCAGGGATGGAGCACCGGAGCCACAGCCAAGCCAGGTGTCCCAGGGACCCAGCAGACGGAGCATGGTGGCAGCAAGGCAAACAAGTCTGGCTGGAAAGGAACACAACTCTCCAGTGCTGCCTCTGGAGCATCTCCAGAAGTAGCACTGGACATCTCAGCGATCTCATACCTGACACGTGCCCCTCACAAAGGATCCAGCTCACAGCCTGGGGAGGGCCTGCCTGCCAAAGCCCACCCARCACTGGGTACAAGGATCAATCAAGTAAATGCCACAGCAGCTCTGCATCACCCTCTGCCTCAGCAGAGTAAGGAGCCACATGGTCATCTCAGCCCTTGGAAATGCACAGGGACTGTGCCCTGAGTGCCAGACTCCACGCTTCCTGCCATAACACAACACACAAGGAAACCCAGGCGACAGCTCTCCTGTGCCAGGCAGGGCTCCTGTCACCCCCACACAAGTCCCAGCAGCAGCCCCAAGCCAGTGACTGCTGTGGGACAGGTTTTCCAGGGCTGCCCCACTCCCTGGCAGGCTACAGCAGGAACAGCTCTCCTSGCAGCCAGGCCCAGTCCCCCAACTGCTGTGCCAGCTCCCTGCTCACCCCCCAGCCACGCTGGAAGCACAGACAGGAGCAGAGAGAGACAGGGGTGTGAGCAAGGCTGTGACAGGGACAGTCGCTGTTGCAGGGACAAGGCTGCCATGGTACAGACACAGCACAGCAGCTTCCATCCTGTGTGAGCACGAGTCTTGGATTGGGCTGCCCTCAGCACCGTCCCCAGGAGACTCGGGCCCGGCAGGGAGGCTCTGGACGGGGGAGGCATCCGAGCGAGCTGCGGGGTCACAGGAAAGGCCGCAGGGAAGATCAGCTCGGCAGCAATGCCGTGAGGAGTCTCTGGGCCTGGGGAGAGCCGACAGCCCAGTGCACCCCAGGGTGCAGGAAGCCAACAAGCCTCCCCGGTTCCAGCTCCACCATAAGGCAACTTTTTTTTGGGTGTTTTTGGGGTTTTTTTTTGTTTGTTTTTTTTTTTCTTTTTTTTTTCTTCAGTATTATTTCCAAGGAAGAAAAGCAAAGGGAGATGTGTCTTTTTTTTCAAGAGTTTTTCTGTTGCTATTTCAGAGGGGTTTGTGGGGTTTTTTTTTTCTTATATCATTTTTTTCCAAGGGAAAAGGAAGAGAAAAGCTCCTTCRGCAAAGTCCTGTCTTTGCATGCGATGGGCATTCCTGGGGCAGCGGGTGCACCGTCCAAAGCAGGCTCGAGTCCGGGTGCCTGCCAGCCTCCCAACCAGCCATCCTCGCAGGAAGGAGTCACAACAAGCCTATCCTTGGCAAAGGTCCTTTGGTTGACTTCCAAATTGTCCGTGACGGAAGGGAGAGGTGGACAGAGGGAGAGCCAGACCCTCGGGAAGGTTCAGACGTTGGGGAGACGGGAGAACGAACAGGGCGACGCTCCTGTGGCGGGGTCGGTGTCGGAGCGGCACCGCCGGACGTGGAATGGGAGACGCCAGCCGGGTCATGGAGATCAGAGGCTCCGCAGCATCRGCACACGCTGTGGCTTCGGTCCCCCACTGGGGAACCTCGCTCCTCCGAGCTTCCTGAGCGGCTGCCCCGCCATCCGAGGGGGGACACAGAGGGGACTTGTTGGGGCCACACAGAGCAGACTTGTTTTGGTAAATCCAGACGAACTTCTAGCAATAATTTAAAACTTGATATATATATATA